TACGTTATTGCGATTGGAGATTAAAAAAAGTGAGATGGAATAACAAATCGTTCTCATGAAAATAACTGATTTTTTCATTAAAACAAAAAAATGTTGCATTTTATTAAATGGATTGTAACAATAAGTATAATTACGGCTTTTCTTCCACTATTTTTAACTCAGTTTGAAACTTCAAATGCGATATAATTTTGGCTTGGACCATCTAAGCTGACTGACATCAACTTGCTATAATTCCTGTTTACATTACATCGCAATTCGATGACACTCTCGCTCGGACACCAGAATGTTTTGACGATTTTTAGCATTCGTTTAGGATTTTCAAACAAGCTGGTCTCTTTTAAAATACTTTTAATTTGTTCTTACGTGGTTTTCCAGATCTAGTGACGACAACATTAAAGTTTAAAGAAGAAAATTCTAACATTTAAACCGACTAAACAATAACATAGTAGACATAGTAAACTTGCATAATTAAACAGCAACTAAAAATGATAGTTTTTACTGAATCTTTTCCTGTGCAATTATTAATAGCATTGGAGACAAGGATAATAGTTTGTTTGAAAGAGAAAAGAACAGGCTTTGAAGTAAGCCTAAGAGCGTTTAACTAGAAATAGTATTTCGAAAGTTATTAAGCACAAAAGATGAATTGCGTTTATTTTGATACACCCTGTATATCAATTCAATGTTGGACTTGAATAACTTAGATTCTTGCACTTCACTTGGTGGAATTAATATTAGGATGTTAGGGTTTGTAATCCAAGTGAGAATATATACATTTTAAGACCTAACCAATGACCTATTTCAGCACCTCAGTGAGAATATATACATATTCTCACCAGCTATTTCCGTGAGAATATATACATTTTAAGACCTAACCATTAACCTATTTCAGCACCTCATCTGCATATTGATTACTGATTTATACAATGTTAATACAGTATAAAAACTATAAATATATTTTGAAAAGTGTGTAGATTGTACTTACTGGAAAGTCTTCGGAAGACGAAGAACAGTCTCCATCTATTATGTTTCATTTGTTCAGACAAGCTTTGTTGTCTTGTCCATGGCATGCAAACAAGCAGAAATGTCCCATATTCTTACACGGGCAAGCGTTGTGACCCCTTTCTCCTACACACATAAACTTGCTGGCCTTGCATTTACAGACAGTTGTATTGTCATTGAAAGGTTTTTGAGATGCTTGCATAAGCTCACTTTCATCTTGCTGTTCGACAGTAAACGATTCTACCCTTGTTCACACAACATTTCAGTTTGGAAAGCAATAAAATAATGCAGCATTTTCGCATTTTGATACATTTTCGCATTTTGATACAGCATTTTCGTTGCCATATTGGTTTTTTACTCGTTTGATAATAATCGCAATGAATGCAATAAATAAGATAAATATATTCAGGAAACAGCCCAGTAAAATAAGTGCAAAATCAATTATCGTATTTATCATTTATAGCCACCCAGTAGCGCATTTTAAAATTATCATGGTATATTTTCCACATGAGAAAGGAGTGAAGTCTGCCATATTAGTTATGTAAATTTACCTGAATATTACATGAGATACTTTGTGTATGCAAGAATATAAAGGATGTAAACAAAAAATGTAAACAATATACACACATGCACAGATTCAACTGGATATCATCTTTAAGGAGTTTCACCATCCAATTTCAGGAAAGTGCAGGTATGTTGTTGATGATAGATTTCATACAAAGACGGATCCCTCACAAATTGCTATTATGTGTGTACCACAACATAGCCTGGGAACAGTCTCTTACAAAAAAACATCTATAACTTTTAAAATAGTAAATACAGATTATGTTATCCCTGAATATTTAAGCACTGTGCTAGTAAGGAACTCAGATATTCATACTAGAAATACTCGCTTTAATAATATGAACATGGTGTGCCCAAAATACACTAGAGAGAGTGAGGTTGGGCGCACTTTCACCGTTAGAACTATTAAAGATTGGAACGCCCTCGATGTTACATTGCGCAAACAGAAATCTATATCTATATTTAAATGCAGTTTGTATACTAAAATTTTAACAGACCAGAAGTCCGCCGCCATGCGTTTAGAAATTGCTTAGGTGGGTGGTGGATTATTTTATTTGTAAATATAGTAGTTTTAGAGTTTTTATAAGTTTTAGTATTGTATTAGCTTAATTGTAGTTATGTAAGGAGGGCCACGAATTTATCAGTAGTTCACACTTACTGTCAAGTGTTTACCCTCATGAAATAAAGTCTGAACTTGAACTTGAACAGGCTCTCAAGGTGTAATGAGAGCCTGTATCGATGACTAATGAATTTGAATATCTGCGTCTCAAATCGTGACACAAAATTCTCATTGGTCAGATGCTATAATTTATATGTTTCCGCTGAGCTCTATATATGTCAACTGCTGAAGCACTATGCATAAAAAACACATTAACTGATCAAATTGGTCTTGGTCATCTTATCTCAAAGCACGAAATGTTCTGTTTTGAGTATTTAAAACATTTAAACTTTTGCTTGAATATCTTATATTTCGAAAAACAGCATAAACTGTATGGTTTAAATTTATGAAATCTGCTGTGCTGGTGTAATGGTCTAAATTTAGTTTGCATGAAAGTTGTAAACAACACCATGTAAGGATAAACATTCCATATTTGGAAAAACGAATGTTATGGGGCAGATATTCAAATTCCATTAGTCATCAATGCAGACTCTCATTTCACCTTGAGAGCCTGTTCACAGGCTATACCACAACACTGAATTGTGCGAGGAAGCGCGACATCATTGAAAAGTTATCAGAAGAGTGAAAACCATTGCAAAAATTATTTGCGATTGAGAAGTTCTACAATGCATTCTCAATTGATTTCTTGTACAATTACCTTATGGACTATTATAGCAATGAACAGATTGTTCAGAGGCAAATTTGGGACTTGGAAAAGTCTCTGAACAAAGGGCAGGAGATTGTAAGAGATATTTATTGCAGATCCAATATTCACTCAAAACAAACGTGACTCAATGGAATTGAAAAAAAAGATTATAATTCCTATAGTTACAAACAATCAAATGTTAGCACATTGTCACTATAAGAACATAAAGAGGCCTAATTCCACGATGAGCCAAATAACACACACATGATTTTGGAGTGTTTCTCTGTGAAATATATTTTTTGCCTGTTAGTTGAATTTGTTTATACTACGTTGCAAATAGACAAGCCAATCAAATGCTTGTGTTTTGAATGACAAAATAGCGAAGCCAATCAAATGCTTGTGTTTTGGCGAATTTTTCCTCTGTGAAATCAATATGAGAGAGAATTCTAGTTTTAGTTTTAAAACACGTCCTGCACCTGTGTATAACAACGAGTAAATATAATTTTAAGATGCATGTCTTACAACATTTACTGTAACAAACTAATCTGAACATGTCGTACAGAACCACTCTTCATCTTCGTCAGGTTAACGTAGTTTGCCCGGAACATTCCCTAAAAAATGCATGGGGAAAACAATTTTATTTAATGCCACCTGTTGTTTGACTCTATAGAAAATAGAAATGTCATATGTTTAACAGGATTGAACAATGTTGTGTGGCCCACATTGTTACACTTGTCAACCAGCTGTTCCACACATTCTAATCAATCTATTGGTGTTGTAATGCCATTGTATGAAATAAAGTATTGGGTTGTAATGGGTCTACAATTACAATAACCCTAATCCAAACATTGATCCTAACCACTAACCCTAAAGTTGATGACTTTTTTACTGAAAACTTTTAAATACTGTTTCTCTATTATTTTGGGATAGGTATATTGTATCCAGGTAGGTATTCAGTAAGTGTGTATAATTATTTACAAAAAAGATGCAATGAATTTTATTAGAAGTTCAATACATACCAGTGAAACCATTCGTTGCATTTGTAACAAAACAACCATTCCTGTTTGGTTCCTTTGTTTTCTTTGGAAAACTCTAGGTCACATACAAAACACTTGCTCTGTTTATCTTTTCTTGTTGATTTCAGTGTACCTGCCATATTTAAAATCAAGAACATGTAAAGTCTCACATAAACATTGACACATGTGGCATGAGAAAATGTTCAGGTGAAGAACATTAATGAAACCATTTTTTGCTTTGTTGACTTTCATTATAGGTAGAAATTTACCATATTATAATTACATTATGTGATTATTCAGCTCACTCCCAACTGGGGCTTTTCAGTGACTGATTGCATCAAGTATTATGCTTACTTATGTTACTTAACCTAGACTATTTATCTAATTTATAACAACTGTGATATTACTTTCTCAATTGTGTTTAGCCTAACCGACCCTGTCACTTTCCCTATGGGAGGAAACCAGACACCCAGAAAAAACTCACGACTTTCGGCAAAGTGTTGACTGACTCTTTCACATGAGTCCATAGCGGGAATCGGATCCACAATCTCAGAGGTGAAAGGCGCTTGCTCTGACAACTGCACCACCAAAGCCCCTAATAGTAATAATAATAATGCCCCTAATAATAATAACTTAATAATAATGGAAAGATTGTCGCAAGGGTCTACAATAAAACAATGGTTGTGGTACTACCTGTGGAGCCAGAGCAAATTCTAACTGTTGCACCATCTACTTTCCTCTTGATGCCTGTAAGAAATTATAAAATACAATTGTTGTTTGTTGTTGAAAATCCAATTACTGTGGTCTCGATAAGCATGCTAGCCTGCTCGCAAACATTGCGCTTCTTATGCCTAGCGACGATGTAAGCATGTAAGCAGTTGAAATAAATCAATGCAGAGCATTGGGCTAGTATTCCAAAGGTCGTAGGTTCGATTTCCACCGTGGCCGGGCATATTTTTCAAGCTCGCTTGGTGTGGATATACACTCAGAGTAACATCACAAATATCATATTCACCTGAGTACACAACATCAACACAGAAAAAATCATATTACTAGATTACATTGGTATCAAAGGAACTAGATTCTGTTCCGAAATATCACTTACTCAAACCGTCCTGACTGCGTAGCTCAGTTGGCAGAGCATTGGGCTAGTATTCCAAAGGTTGTAGGTTTGATTCCCACCGTGGCCGGGCATATATTCTTCAAGCTCGCCTGGTGTGGATATACACTCAGAGTAACATCACAAATATAAACTAAATCCGTTTTTACTAATATATAGGAATAGTAGGTTTCAAGAACGTATTAAAGTGAATTAGGCCAGGGGGCAAACGTCGAACTTTTCATGTGCCGAACCTAATGTTAATGAGCTAAGTTTTTTTGTTTCAGTTCATTTACATTAGGTTCGGCACATGAAAAGTTCGACGTTTGACCCTGGCCGTAGTTTAATAGCAATAATATGATGTACAACAAACTTTTGACACATGCAAAGTTTAGTGGAAGTCCAAAGGCAAACTTAAAAAGCATTCACAAGTACATAGTTTTGCCAAGGAAGGGTGTTTTCCCCCTTGTTGGAGTAGAAAGGAGAGGACCCTGGCTTACTAGGTGCGGCTCAATCAAATCAAAGTCTTTCAAAACAGTTGATTTTCAAAATGTTTCAACATTATACAAATCCCAATAGGAGTAATAACAATAATAGTAATATAGTGTTTGTCTTTATTGTACAGTCCATTAAATGTGTGGCTCCATGTAAAGAGTAACAAAACAGTAAATAAAAATATTTCCTACGGAAATATGTTTTTTTATGTCAAGCCTGAATTATAGTGATAAGATAAAAGTAGGAAAATAGTTAGATTGGATTGTGGCA